ACCTCAAAACTTTTCTTTGGTGATATCTGCGGATAGATAAAGGCTTCACCTAAGACCTCTAAGATAGTTGTGTCTAAGCCACTTAAAGATCTAGAACTTAACTTTTGCCCTGAAGGGGAAGGAATAGTAATGAGGAAGCAGAATCTAAAAAAGCCACGAGGACACTGGCGTGTGTAGAGAGACATACGTGAAGCTGGGAGCTCTTTTCTAAACATTGTTTTTTCCTCTGAGAGATAAAGAGGGAGAGCATCCTCACTAGGGCCCTAGATGTAAGCCCCCCAGCCCGAGCACTCCTAGCCAGCCAGGATCGTGAGCACACACTGGCATGTGTAAGTCCACAGAGACCCAAAACCACGCTCGCCCATGTGAATACAGCCTCACCTGAACAGTGCATGGCCGCTGGGCCACTGAGCCGGCCCTCAAGCTGGGAGTGACATACCCAATAGCTCTTCCCTCACAAAATCGAAATCTACGGGAGCAGCCACTCATACTGAGACAGGTTGGAGGACTTTGGAGATGGAGTTTAACCTATTCATGGCATCGGTGAAAAGACTGAGGCCCATAAATGCAGCCAGCTCTATGTCACACAGCTAAGGAAGGACAGAATAGGCTGAACCATTTCCTGCTTCCCCTGGTCTCCAGATCTGGCACCTCTGTCCTGCAGACAGATGCATAACCTAGGCCAGCTCTCGTGGTACACCCTATGGAGCCCTGGACACCCCGAGCCCTCAAAGGAAGGCCTCTGTTTCCACCTATTTTTATATGTATACGACATAATGGTTATGTCGCTGGACTCCCATGTGGCTGACTGCAATTCAAGTATCAGACCCAGTGGCTTACACTCATGCCAGGCACATGTGTGTGCATGCCCAAAGTCCCGAGAGAAGAATGAAGAAGGAACTGTGGCATGGTCATCCCCCTGGGGGATGATTTCTCATTTTCATCTGTCTCTCTCTGTCTTTCCTGCAAGCACACACACCCTGTAGCAAAAATCTCTCAAAAAAATTGTTTAAAGGAACATCTATTAGTAAAATATGTTTGAAGATCAGCCTTAAGGTAAATGTATTAGATAGTGTATGCTTTAAAATGGTGAATTTTATTTTTTAAAATGATTAAAGTTGGATATAAATGATAATGTTTATTTATTTAAATTAAAACACCAAATGCCCCTTTGGATGCTGAGATAATTAGTGGGTTGCACTTAAGGGTCAAAGACCAAACAGGAAGGGAGCTTAGCAACGCTGGCTCAGAGGTCTCTTAACTCCACCCTAGTTCCTCATCGCCCCCACATCCCCACCCCCCAACCCAGCTGGGAGACCCAGAGCCCCTGGGGACTCCTTACTGAGTTGGTGCCGAGGATCTGCAGGTTGGGCTTCTCCGACTCCAGCAGCTTGGCCACCATCTTGAGGAAGCTCTCCACGAAGAGGTTGATGCTCTGGCAGTGGCAGGCCATGAGCAGCTGGTCCAATGCCTCCATGGCGATGCACACGTACCTGGGGAGATAGCACCATGGGCGCCACTGGGGCCTGCCCTCTCGCCCCCATAGCCTGACTGGACAAGCTGGGCATTAATGGTGAGACCTCTTGGGCATACCTGGCTCCTCTATAGGCTGCCAATATCTGGGTGGCCATTCCAGCAAGTACCCACTCCAGCCCAGGACTGAGAACCAGAATGAATCAGAGCTGGAAGGCAGCCTGGAGACCAACTCATCTGGTCTCTTATTTTAAAGATTAAGAACAGAAGGATAGAGATGATAAATCATCTCATGATTAGAAAATAAGCAGAAAGGATTGATGCCCAGAGGAGCAAATTCTGAACCTAAATCCCCTGAGATCAGAGAATTAATCCATGTCAAAAATGTTTATAGGTGGCATGGTGGTTAGGGCACTAGACTCCCACATGGTTGACAGAGGTTTGAATCCTAGACCTGGTGGCCTTTTCTCACCTTTTCTCTCTCCGCTCTGTGAGCATGTGTGCCCTAAAGCAAATTTTAAAATAATAATAAATAAAATAATTAAATATTTTTAAATAAAGTGTTTATTGAGTGCCCACTGAGGAAGGTAATGTAATTTTTAAAGATTTATTTTGGGACCAGTGGATGGTGTGATGGTTAAGGTGCTAGATTCCCACATGGCCGACCATGGTTCAAGTCTCAGACCTGATGGCTTGCTTTCTCGATTTCCCTCTCTTTCTCTCTCTGGTCAAATTAAATAATAATAATAATAATAATAATAA